GGTATGTTTCGCTTTCTTTTGGTTGTACTGCTGATTGAATGAACTGCTGTTCCAAGCTTTTCCTTTTAGAAGAGTTGCATGGCAACAATGTCAGAAATGGAGGCAGTGCGACTATGCAGGCGAACAAAGTTATGATCGAAGATCCCTGGTTGCATGAAACTGCATTACCTAGTTGTTTGGAAGGTGTAACAAGAGAAGACGTGGAGATTGTTCTTCTTGGAACTGGTTCATCTCAGCCTTCAAAATATCGGAATGTTAGTTCTATTTTTGTCAATCTTTTCTCAAAGGGAAGTATTCTGTTAGATTGTGGTGAAGGAACATTGGGACAGCTCAAAAGAAGGTAATGCATACGTTCATAACCATCAACTTTCTATTTACATATGGTTTTTGTCTGACCTCAATTGAGAGGGATAACGTGCTTTTTGTTTAACAGATTTGGCATTGAAGGTGCTGATGAAGCCGTAAAAGATTTAAGGTGTATTTGGATTTCTCATATTCATGCTGATCATCATACTGGTCTTGCAAGAATACTTGCTCTCCGACGCGATTTGCTCAATGAAACTCCTCATGAACCTTTAATTGTTGTGGGCCCAAGGCAGCTTAAGAGATTCCTCGATGCATACCAAAAACTCGAGGATCTGGATATGCAGTTCCTTGATTGTAGGCATACTACAGAAGCTTCATTAAAGACTTTCGAGTCAAATGAAGATAAGGATGTGAGTGAGAGTGCATGTGTACCAAGTGACCAAAAGAATGGTTCTACCTTATTTGCTAAAGGGAGCCGTATGGAGAGTTATTGGAAGAGGCCAGGCAGTCCGGTTGATTCAGCGGCTGTATTCCCATTGCTGAAGACATTAAAGGAAATTCTCAGAGACGCAGGATTGGAGGCATTGATTAGCTTTCCTGTTATTCATTGTCCACAAGCATATGGCGCTGTCTTGAAGGCTGCTGATAGGACTAATAGCACTGGGAAGAAGATACCAGGATGGAAAATTGTATACTCTGGCGACACTAGGCCGTGTCCAGAACTAGTTGAAGCTTCGCGTGGTGCAACGGTTCTCATACACGAGGCAAGTTGTTATAGCATCATTTTGGGTTTTACCACATACTATACTGTACTCTGGGCTTAACGCTTATCACGAGAATTTTAGTTGCCACATGTTCCCATTTTAGCATTATACAAGAACTCAAACTTTCATTTTACCTACTATCATGCAAAGTCAAACTAACATATTGATTTTCTGTGTTGTACTGTAATATGGATGCGACTCTCTAAATGTTGAATAGTGTTACTGGATCACTGAGTATCATTCCAAAGATAGCTTGTTTCTCTGAATATTCTTCCTTCTTGAACTGCAATTGTCCTCATAGCTCATGATGTCGTCAGTGCGAGTTGTATGTTATGCATTCTACAAACTTAATCTGCCTTTTTCTCGTTACATGTTTTCTTCTGTTTCTATTTATGGAGTCACCTTCTGATGGCTGACCTCGTCTTAAGTTGGATCTGGTTTCTTCATCTTCTTTTCTTCACTTGCAACTTTCAATTTGAAGAAAATTTATAGTTTATTATTTCGGGTGCTTACTGCAGGCTACCTTTGAAGATGGCAT